GAGCTAGGATAACCTATAGGGAGCTACCTGCCCTCACCCTTGCAGTCAGAGGACGACAGATCCACATTGCTTTTACCAGGCATTTTTAACATTAACTCTCATTTTCCAACTTAACTCTCACCAGCAAACACCTAGCATTTGGATACTTATCACAGCAGTCCAACTTGAATTCGATATTATTCTCAAAAGCCAAATTGAGGAAAGCAATTTACACAGCATATTTCTTGAAGGACCTGGTCTTTTATCAGGGTTTCATGCAGGAGGTACTGCTGGCGTGTTAAGCAGGAAAACTGAGTTGTACAGGATTTGCCTACACACCACCAAGTCCCATCTCAAAGATCCCCACTCGGAGACACACATCACTGTCACCCCTGCAGATGTGCTGTTTCCAAAGTGCATCGTGGCGTGATGCCACCAACGACGGGAAGCCCTCTGAACTTGTTCCTCTAAAGATACTCCATCTGCCCACAGAAGGCCGTTGGGGAAATATGAGTCTGGTCTCAGAACCAAGAATGGGCGCATGGTCTTCATCACCCAGCTAGGTTTCCATTTTTCCTTCACCCTGGTTTACATAATGCATTTTATTTGTATCTGGTTGCCCCACAGATATCTCTATAAGCCACCTTAAATTTTTTGTGTGTGAAAGAAAGCAAAAAATAAATAAGTGACAAAGATAATGATGAGACAAAGAGATTGAGTGAAATTGAGACCAGGGGAAGAAAGATAACTCCAGCAACAATAATGGGGGGGAAAGAACACCATGAACCATAACACAAGGTGTGCCAGGGTGACAGGAGGTTGGAAGATATCACAGTGGAATTGTAAAAACACTGGATTCAGGAATCAGGAGAAGTGGGTTTGGGTCCTGACTCTGTCACTATCACCTACGTGCTGCTGCCGTACAGGGTGGGGGTAAGCAGAGAGAGGGTGACTAGGAGCGTGCTCTCCATGTCCTCTTGCTATATTTTGTCCTCCATATATATTTGCTTCTGTCTGCCCTTGAGTGTTTAGTAAAGATTTGCCAAGTCCAAAGTGGCCTTGTCTCTGATGAGGGAAGGCAAGAGGCTCCTGCCCACACCTGAAAAGGATCGTTTACGCTTTCGTATACATAAAGCACACCACATACTTAAACTCTTTCATCTTCACAGAAACCTATAAAGTGGCTACTATTATTCTGATGTTACAGATGAGAAAAGTGAGGTGCAGAGAGGTGATGTGATGTGCCCAAGGTCCACAGATAGTAAGTGGTCATGCAGGTATACAAAATAATGAATGTGAAGAAACTCATTGCCAGAATTGGGGCTATTCTTTCAGGAAGGAATGAATCATTTTTAATTTGCTTGGAATCATTTAATAGCAATTTATGTCTATACCAGGTGTCATGAATGAATTTCTTTTGCCTCTTACCCATTAGTCCCACCCACTCTCCTACTCACGCTTCTGCACCTGGGAGAGGCTGGAAAACACTAGACAGCATTCTGGTTCAACACACATTCAAGGACACAGCTTCAAATGCTGCAACCCCAGAACTGGACTGAACAAAAAGGTACCCGTCAGGGCTAAAATTATAAGACTATTAAACTCAAATCCCAGGCAACATCCTAAAGAAACAGAATACAGTCTTCTTGAATCTAAGAAGTCACAAATTAAGAAAAAAAATCCAAGATGGCTGCTCAGGTAGACACCTAGCTGCAGCCGCACACAACAATTTCAATAAAATACAACTAAAATATAAAATGGACATTACCAAGAACTATAGGAAAGTCGACTGACTGGAAATTCTACAACGAGAAGCAAGGAGAAAACCAGAAGGAAGAGCGGAGAAGCTGTAAAAGCCTAAGGTACGGAGACATGCAGCGCACGGAGAGGACAGAGCCGGAGAAGAGGGAGGCAGAGTGCCTGGCTGGCATTCCCTACCAGGAAGGAGATAAAAGCTCCGACTGTGCTGGGCCCCAATTCCAACTGCTCTGAACCCCAGTTCTAGGCCAGACCCCGGGGACCCAGGCTCAAACAGAGGGAGCTGGGCTGTAAGGCGGAACTCCGGGGGAGCAGTGAAAGGAGGTCCCAGAGGCGTGCACATTGTGCGCAGAGAAGGGACAGTTGGCTGTGCTGCGGAATTGCCCTGGCAGGAAGGAGACAGGGGCTCCAGATTGCTCTGAACACCACCTCCAGCTCCACTTCCAACTGAACTGAACCCCAATACCAGGCTCAGTGGTGGAGAGCCTAGACTGTTTGGTAGCAGGCGAAAATCGAGGGCACCTTTCTCTCAGAGGCGCTTGCAAGGAGTACTGAAGGACCCTGAGAGAAACAGACTCAGGAGTTGCATAGGGTGGGGCTGACGGAAGACAAGGCTATAGGCTCCACCCTGAAACCCCGCCCCATCAGGAAAGCTGCAAAAATGCTGAGATGAAATAGATCACAAACAAAAGAAATGGAGGACAAAAAGCAACTGGATATAGAGTTCAAATCTACGCTTATAAGATTTTCAAGAATTTCCTAGAAAAGATGGATAAGACCTATGAGGATATGAAAAGGGATCAACTAGAATTAATAAGGAATCAAGAAGAAATGATAAGGGATCAACAAGAAATAAAGAATACATTGACTGAAATAAAAATATTATACAGAGTCCTAAAAACAGAATGGAAGATCACAAGAATCAAGTCAAAGAGTTGGAACATAAAGAGCCAGAAGATACTCCTCCGCAGAAGCTAGAAGGCAAGAGAATCCATAAAATTGAAGATAATGTAAGAAACCTCTGGGGCAACTTCAAGGGAACCAACATCAGAATCGTGGGGGTCCCAGAAGATGAGAGAGAGCAAGATATGAAAAACATACTGAAAGAAATAGTGACAGAAAACTTCCCCCACTTGGTGAAAGAATTAGACTTACAAGTCCAGGAAGCGCACAGAACTCCAAACAAAAGGAATCCAAAGAGGACCACACCAAGACAAATCATAATTAAAATTCCAAGAGCAAAAGACAAAGAGAGAATCTTAAAAGCAGCAAGAGCAAAGCAGGTAGTTACCTATAAAGGAGCACCTATACGATTGTCAGCTGATTTCTCAACAGAAACCGTGCAGACCAGACAGGAATGGCAAGAAATATTCAAGGTGATGAATAGTAAAAACCTACAGCCAAAGATAATCTATCCAGCAAAGATATCACTCAGAATCGAAGGTCAGATAAAGAGCTTCACTAATAAAAAAAAGCTAAAGGAGTTCATCAACACCAAACCAGAATTATATGAATTGCTGAAGTGGGTTCTTTCAGAAGAGAAAGTAAATAAAGAAAAATTATGAACAACAAATACGTAACTATTGGATCTAAAAACCAAGGAAATTTAAAAAAAAGTGGATCTAAAACCCAAAGAAATTTAAAAAAATCTGATGAACAATATTAACTGTTGAATATAATAGAATCAGAGGTATGGAAGGGGAGTGAACTGACGATTCTTGGGGAAAAGGAGAGACAAGGGTGTGGGAAGAAACTGAACATAAACTGTGCACCTATGGATGAGGACAATGGGGGGTGAGGAAAGGGCAGAGGGTGGGGTGGGAACCTGGTGGAGGAGAACAATGGAGGGGGGGGGGAAGGAACATTTGTAATAATATGAACAATAACAATTTATTTAAAAATAATAATAATAAAAATAAAATAAAATAAAAAATAAAAAACAGAGAGTAGAATGGTGGTTGCCAGGACTAAGGGGTGAGGGAATGGGGAAATGTTAGCCAAAGGCTACAAACTTCCAGTTATAAGACAAAATAATTCTAGGGATCTAATATACAGTCTGATGACTATAGTTAATAATCTGTATTTATACTTGAAAGTTGCTAAGAAAGTAGATCTCACAACACACCAAAATATGCTAATTATGTGAAATGATGGATATGTTGACTAACCTTATTGTGGTAATCATTTTGCAATATATATGTGTATCAAATCATCATGTTGCACACCTTAATCTTATACAAATGGTATATGTCAATTATATCTCAATAACTGAAAACTTAAATAAAACAAATAAGCAGAACTACTAAATGCTTATATAACCAAAATAATCTCAGTAAATATTTAGGGAGAATGGGATAGACTATTAGGTATGGAAATAGAGGTGAACTTTCAAAAAATTTAAATAAAGTATTACTCAGCATCTATTGAATACGTGTGTCTGATTCATGCAGTGTCAGGCACTGAAGAGAGAGTAGAAAAAAGACAGGTCTTTACCCTCAGGGAGCTCACCTCAGGAGAGGAGATGGCTGAGCTCACAGTACAATGTGACAAGTGCTTTGACAGGAGCAGGACTGAGGAGAATACAGAGGGAGAGGCTCCTAACCCAGCCTGGAGAGTTAGATGGAGCTTTGCAGAGAAGAGAAGGTCTGAGCTGAGTCCAGAAGGACAGCTAGGAGTTATCACCTCAAAGCAAACATTGAAGTAGCCATGCAGTAATAAAGGTCTCAAGAGGATGCCAAAACGGGTTTGGCTCAGTGGATAGAGCCTCAGTCTGCTGACTGAAGGGTCCCAGGTATTCTGGTCAAGGGCATGTACATTGGCTGCGGGCACATTCCCCAGTGGGGGGTGTGCAGGAGACATCTGGTCGATGTCTCTCTCTCATCGATGTTTCTAGCTCTCTATCTCTCTCCCTTCCTCTCTGTAAAAAATCAATAAAATATATTTTTAAAAAGAATAAGAAGTCACAAATTAAGAAGTATGTTTGACACTGAGGAAGGTGTCTCATGAGGAATTTAGTGACTGGTCAATTTGTTTGCAGAATGTTGACTTCTGTGTGCTCTTAGCAACATCAAAAGCATAACCCTCTCTGCTCTGGGGTACATCTCCATGACTTCTGTTTGTGATTTTGCATAATACAGCAAATTTATTCTAGCTGGTTATGCCAGTCTTAGATATAGCATATCTTGCTGTTGTTTACTTCTCTTTAATATGCTCATTTAACCAGACGTAATAAAAACAAAGGAAACTCCAGCAGCCACACTTACCTGTGATCCAAGTGGTGAATGGAGAGAATAACTCCTGAATTTAGGTGGGTCTGTTTTAGGGTCACCAAAATAGTAAATTCATGTTTGTTTCTCAGCTTCTGAAAAAATTGGTCCGCTGTAGCAGTGGATGCTTTTATACTTCTGGGAGTATCTGAAAGAGAAACATACACTAAATCAACTAAAAATACCCTTTAGATGCAACATCTTTCAAGAAACACTGATAAATGCCAAGTTTCTCACTCCCATGGTAAACTCTTTCAACAATACTTTATGCTACATATAACAGAACAGTAAACCACACGAATTACTGAAATTGTATTTCAGGAATCTTTTCAAAAATGTCGATGTTGAGGTAAGGAATCAAATAACCCAGTTTGAAAAAGAAAGTACACTCTCCAGTTTTCTCCTTGTGCACTTCCTGTATCCTGGACACTACCACCACATCAGTGTCAACAGTGAACAAAAAGATGTACTTTCTAAACCATGATAAAGACATTTAGTTTTTCTGACACCTCACGACAGAAAATTGGATTTAAATCTGCGTGCCATGTTCCACAGTGATGTCTTCAGCCAGAAGGTTTGCTCTAAATAGATTGTTTAAAAGATCATTGTAATTAGTCACTCTCAGCCTTCTGTGAAGTGGATGAAACATGAAGATCAAATTATCTTACCATATTTGTGGAAAGACTGTCATAGAACTTAACTCCCATGTGTTTCTCTTCTGGCTTAGAGAAAGCCTAGCTAAGGGATCGCAGAAAGTTATGCCCAGTGCTTCCATCTGGCAAAGTCTTGCACTCCGACCTTACCATCCAAAAGATGTGAGGGAAACACATAAGGAGAAAACTAGACTTAGAGGACAGGAAAAACCATCACCTAAGCCATCTGCTATCTGAGCATAAAGCTCTCCTGTTCAAAGTATGTGCAAAGGGCTTATGGGAGCCAGAAATTGTTTTGTTTTGTTTTCTTGTGATCAAATCATTCTCCTATTTTCTATGCTTTATTCTAGGTAGACTAGTTAAGTAGTTCTCAGTGTGGGAACCACTGGCATTTGGAGAGAACAATCCCTCCTCGAACTAAACTGTCCCATGACCTGCAGAACATTTACCATGCCTTGGTGCCAGCTCAGGAATGCCAGCTCAGGAATGGCAGTGGCACCCAACCCCCAGTCATGGGACAACTCAAAGTTCTCTTGTGCCTTTCCAAGCATTCTCTGGGAGCAGTGCAGCAGGAATCTCACTGAGAACCACAGCTTTCATGAAATGGATTATAGGATTAATCCAAAACTCCCCATCATTCTAGCCCTGTACATTTTAGGAATAAAGATGTAATCGCCTGGTCTGTGCCCATCACTGGAAATACATAGATGTGGAGAAGTCAAGATACCCATAGAACCTTAGAGGGAAGGCAGGGATGGGTGGGTGAGAGGGTAGGAAGACATCAACCAAGAACTTGTATGCATATATGCATAACCCAGGGATACAAACAATAGGGTGGTGAAGGCCCAGGGTGAGGGATGGGGGTGATCTAGAAGGGGTAAATCAGGAGGGAGAGGTTAGGAAAGAGGACATATTTTCAACAATAAAGATTTAATTTAAAAGAATAAAAAATAAATGATACCCATAGACTAGCGGAAGGAACAGATAATCCCAATACAATGAAGGAAATGCTGCCACACACAGAGGCACAAAGTGTTGTTGGATCGTGGAGGGAAAAGCAGCCAACATCATCTAAAGGGAAGATCCCATCCAATAGATGGCATTTGATCATGGATTCACCAGCTACCCAGGAGAGAGAAAGGCATTCCAATCAAAGGGCTGGCTTGGAAAAAGCAGAGCATTGTGAAAGGGCATGTCATGCCTAAAACAGTGACTCGCAGCCATCACGGACAGGATGGAGAGGAAAGCTGGACTGGCCTGGCAGGACCTCCTGTGCCTATGGAATGGACACGATGTTGCTTCTGTCATCATCATCAGTTTAGCCTCTTGGTTAAAGAAAGAAAGAGCTGAAACATGGTTTGGCTCAGTGGATAGAGAGCCTGCAGACTGAAGGGTCCCAGGTTCGATTCCAGTCAAGGGCAAGTACCTTGGCTGCGGGCACATCCCCGGTGGGGGGTGTGCAGGAGGCAGCTGGTCAAGGTTTTTCTCTCATCGATGTTTCTAGCTCTCTATCCCTCTCCCTTCCTCTCTGTAAAAAAAAAAATCAATAAAATATTTTTTAAAAGAAAAAAATATTTTTTTAAAAAAAAACTATTTACCCTCCCCACTCTTAACATACAGCTTCCTCCATGCTGAAAGACCCTGACCAATCAACAATCAGCACAACAATTACTCAATGTCCACAGTATTCAAAGCAGGAATGGGCATCTCTCCCAGGCAATGAAGTCAGGCCCAGGGTATGTGCTCAAAGTTTTAGGAAAAAGAAACTTCTGTTGTTTCCAAAAAGAAACTTTCTCAGTTCTGATATTCATAATTCCAATATTTAACAATCACCTGCAATTTCTGCCACGATCAATATAATAGTTTTGAACACACATTCCATGTTGTTCTTGCAAAGCCCTGGAAACTTGATGGGGGCCACAATTCCTGTTTCCTTTTCCCATGAGCCAAGGGACACTCCTGGGGTTCACCCAAAGGCACACGGCATGCCACAGGTAGAACGGGGGTGACAATTTCTGGCCCACTATTATTTCCTCTAAACTGCACCACCTCCGACCATGGCATTCTTTATCAGTGCTCTGCTGCCGCTCACAGAGAGAAAAGCAAAGATGAGAGCAAGACCACAGAAAACAATCCAGGAAATAGTAATTATATACGATAGCATTTTTAGTTCCATAAGACACTAGCTTAGAAGTGATTTTAAGAAAGGTCACTTCCCCATTCTGCTTCCAATCTAAAATTAGCATTCCCGCCTTCTATTTTCATCTTGAGAATTATATAATGTTTAGAGGGACTTCCGGGTTCCTGTGGTTATTACCATACAACCCGATTCTGTTCCTTCCCAGAAAATCAAGTCAAGGAAATGACCATGAGAAAATGAACTTTACTTCATTTCAGTTTTCAGAATTAATCATTTAATTTGGGTATATATGATGCAATTTCTCAACAAGGCCTCCTGTTAGATGCCCGATATAGGAGGAGAAAGATGTGTGTGTGGAGAGAGGGAAGGAGGGAGGGGGAGAGAGAGAGAGAGAGAGAGAGAGAGAGAGAGAGAGAGAGAGAGAGAGAGAGAGAGAGAGAGAGAAAGAGAGAGAGAGAATGAATACAGGTATTTTTAAAATGGGCTAATAGCCCTGGCCAGTGTTGCTCAGTGATTAGAGCATCAGCCCACAGACTATAGAGTCCATGGTTTCAAATGGGCCAAGGGTATATGAGAGGATACCAATCATATATCTCTCTCACCTGGATTTCTCTCTTTCTCTCTCTCTCTCTCTCTCTCTCTCTCTCTCTCTCTCTCTCCCCCCGTCTCTCTTCCCGTCTCTCTTCCCTCTCCTTCCCTTCCTCCCTTCCACTATCTCCAAAAAAATCACTGGAAAAATATCCTCTGATTTAACAAAAATAATAAAAATAGGCTGAGAGCCTGTGCTCAATGCAGTTATGTATAATATGTGATAGCAAATATAGGTGTTTACTGAAAAGGGGAGTCAGAGTGGAGCTTTTGAAAGCAGTTGTAGTGCATTAGTAGTAAAAGTAAAGAGAAGGGATTTGTTCATCTTTCAGTAGCAAAGAAATTGGTAAGAATTATTTTCTTCTGCACTTAAACTGCATCACTACAATTGCCATCATGAATTAAATAAGCCTCTGCCCACTGACAGGTCTCTATCCCATCTGCAGGGTGTAGAAACCTCAATTGATTTCCTCCCACATAACCAGACTAATAAAAGTACCATGTGAAAATTCAATTATAAAAACAGTCTAATCTCAGGCAGGGTACATTTGATTGAGAATGTTTCTACTCACCAAATTTGTTTCAGTCTCTGACCATGAAAGGTTGTTGTTTTCTAAATTCAGGTTATAAATATACCAAATTAGAACTATTATTACAGTTATTGTCCATTGCTCTTAGTCTCCCGTCAATATATCCATGTCTTTAGAGTACAAACTTTCAAGGCAAAATAATAGTAACAACCTTAAAAACCATTAAAATTTTATTATGCTGCATATGCAGTTTGCAAAGTCCTTAAACATAAACAATCTCATTTAAGCTTCACGGCACATGGAACAAATGGGATTATTCGGTCCATCATAATAGAAATTACCAGTGAGGGGAGAAAGGCACAGGGAAGCCAAGACACTTGAGATTATCACTGTAAGTGACTGAAAATCAGAGGTCATGTTTATGAACTTACTCTACTGGGAACTTGGTTGGAAACCTCGGAGACTCCTGAAACTGCCCCCAGGACATGAGGGCAAGGAGAGACTGAATAAATAGGCAGGCCACTCCAGATTGGGAGGTGGCCTATTTAATATGCAAGGGAATTTACACATGAGACTTGTCTTGGAGGCTGAAAGACAAATAGAACTCTGTCCATGCCCACAAAAATCTTAAAAGTTTATATACTGCCACTAACTGGTTTCAGTCACATATTCAGTCAAGATGGTCTCAACAAGACATTGTTCTCTCAAAATTGTGTCCTTGAAACTGGCTCCTACTAAGGGAATGGTGGAGAGAACAGGCCCTCTAAGGACAGTGAAGGAGGTGAGAAGCCTCCAGTTGCCTGGATCCAGATCAAGGGTCAACTGGCAGTCATGTCCTCTAAATGACCTCTTCCAACAGAACTATCAAAGCAATTATGATAGGAGATAGGAATTAAGCTTTCAAATTTAAATGGTAGAGCCAGAAATCCAACTGAGGCCAATGTGTTTCCTATTATTACACAACTAGAGGTCCAGTGCATGGATTCATTCATGGGTGGGGTCTGGCTGGACCACCAGCTGGCAGAGGTGAGGGGCTCTGGGCAGTTGGCCAGCCAGATGTGCCCCCGATTGAGGTGTTGGGGGCCTATCAGACCCCGATCAGGCTGGTTGGCTGCCACAGTGTGCATCAGAGCCATCGGTCATTACAGTCATTCTGGTCATTCTGCCATTCTGGTTGCTGAGCTTTTATATCTATCTATCTATCTATCTATCTATCTATCTATCTATCTATCTATCT